TGCATATGGTACCGGTCTTATAGCTTTTAACTCTGGTTAAGCATCTGCTAGCAAGCTCGGCGTTGGCTTGAAGTTTGTACAATGACCTAAGCCATCAAAACAACAGAGGCAACGTTTCGTTTCAGGGTACGTGGCATGCTTTCGACGGACTTTGATGGTGGGTCTGAAGTGCTCAAACTCGGTTGCAGGCCTGCTTCAATGAAACATTGAAGAGTTGCAAATTTTCAATTCAGTCGAAACCAAGAAGATTCGAATTTTGCCGGTCTGCAATGTAGCACCTTCCCGACTTTTCCACACCTTGGAAAGCAATCTAGCAAGTAAGTTTGCCACTAAGTTTAACACACCGCCGGATGCATTATGTACAGCTTTCTGAGACTCGACTATCTTCAGCCCCTTTATATGATTCCATGTGCTCCTAAACATAATCGTAAGGTCCACGGGCTGTGGTAAATTGCAGTTTCGTTGGAAGCCCATTGAACAGCATCCTAATAAATCGTCGCTGCGGCTTGCACTCACTTTGGGATGCGGCAACTATGGGCGGTGACACTGCGCCAGCCATCCTAGAATTCCCCTTTCGACAAGAACACTTTCTTCTACCGGACCTGACTGCAGCCGTCCTCCTTTAGCTCAGACATATAGCACGTTTAACAAATATGATGGTTGAAGGGACAAAAGCGCGCAAAATGCTACTCGCCGAGTGACCAGCATGGTGTGGAGTTTTTGTTCGTAGACCTCTGGAAGGGTTTACTTCGATTGACAGCCCTGGTCTTTTCACAAATTGCACGGTACCTGATGGTGCGAGGCCTTTCCGTTGGACCATGGTAGTGTCATGTTTTAAAGTGAGCAGCCGTTTGCATTCGCTTACGAGGGCCTTCAGTGTCAGATCAGGATCCTGATCCAGCTTAGCTAAAAGACGTGCAAATCTCAACAGTACTGGAGGATTGTAGAGCGCTGACAAACATGAGACACTTTAACTGATCGCCCGTTAAACAGCCTATTTGGAAACGCTCACACTCACTGCAAACCATATCTGCTGGGGCCACAAAGTCCTCCGATTCCTGTTGGACAATTTTCAGGCATTACCAGCGAATACTAAACAAGGATACCGATTCACTAAAGATTTCCTTCAGCTGCGACCCTATTTCGTCAAACGTCAAATTCTTCGGCTGTTTGGGCGGAATGTGGTCTATGGGCCTTGAATGTTCACTTACCCCGATCTTGCGGAGTAGCAGTCGCAAATTCCAAACGTCGTCCTGACGAATGGAGTCCATCCGGAACATGTCTTCTCAGGGCTTGAACCATGCTTCGAATGTGCATCCAGCATCTGCATCATAATTGAATTCAGTGGTTGCATTCGTGAGATTGACAGAACTCGCCTGCATATCCCGCGTCGCTGCTCAGGTTGTCTGCAAACTCGCATATTGTGTCAGAATTTCGATCATTTTCGTTTGTGTCTACATTTGAGATTGCGGTTGGAAAAGCAACTTTTGAAAGTGTTCAGCAGAATGTCATCACATTTCTAAATTTCTCCGTCGCCATTTGTTATAATCTTTTCATTAGAGGCCCTCACAACGAGACTGGACCTTAAGGTGATGCGACGGTTTTGCGTACCTCATTGACCCATTGAGCTATACTGGGTGGTGCCTCCAGGCACCTTTAGCGCTACTCCTACTAGGTTGGGCAATGGTGAGAGGTAAGACAAACTCAATCTCCTGGTCCTCCAGGTTTGGGGTTTGAAATGGGATGGCGTCCATTTCTGAAATAGTAAATCATTGCCACCTCCTCGCTGCCGTGCGGACAAGCTTGTAAGCCAAATGCGTTGCATCAGAACGCTAATCGTCCTCCAGTCTAGATCTGGACGCCCTGGCCGTATCTCAGCCCACATGCACCCATAACATTTTTTTCCAACATAAACTAAATCCTGCATCGGCCGTCGCGTAGATTATCAAGGGTTGTCTTATCTGCTGCATATAGCAGGGCGGATAAGCGAAAACGTGCTACTGCGGACGCCTCCCTTCTGTCATTTCTATCTGTTTCTCTTACTCCCATCCCGACCCCCATTACTAACCTTCCTTTTACAATTCCCAGCTTAATTGACAACAACCGAAGTGCCACTGGAGTCAAACCACCTGCAGTCACCACCCGGCAGCACATAGCCGATGCCCATCGGCAAAACCCCCTTTTAAGACCACACTAATCCGTGTCCTTGGCGAAATTCAACGTTCGCTCTCTAAGACAAACAGCTAAACACGCTGAACTCGCACACATCTTGGACACACTGGGTATTGATGTTTGTTGTGTATCCGAAACTAGGCTCAATGACACTAGTGTGGTTGTTGAAATTACTTCACTCAGCTTATCCTCTCGTCATTGGGTACACGCATCCGGAGACGCCCATGCAGCACTCACGGGTCAAGCCGGTGTTGGTATCATGCTGAGCTCCAAGGCTAAGCCACCGTTGGTTGATTGGATTCCGGTGAACAGCCGTTCATGTGCTGCCTGTTTGTCGACATCAGCTAAGGTGGATTTACGAAATAATACAAAACGCTGTTTGTTTGTGATTTCCGCTTATGCTCCCATCGACTGCAGTTCTACTGTTGTCAAAGCCACATGTTATCACAAACTGAACGCGCTATTACGCAGTGCTGCTAGTTCAGATATTACAGTATTGGCGGGGTATAAGAAGGCACAAGTAGGGCGTTTGAGCTCTTCAGAAGCTCAGCTAAGTGGTAAGTATGTGCTTAACTCCGAACGGACTGACAGCAGTGAGCGTCTGCTGCAACTGTATGCGGAGCACCAGTTGTTCCTTAGTAGCACGGCATTTAGACACAGAGGGCGCCGTAGTGCCACTTGACGTCATCCTGCAGCTGGCCAGCGATGGACCCAAACTGACCACACAGCCATAAGTTACAGCTGGGGTGATTCCATCCTGGATTGCCGCTCGTACTGGCGCATCTGTGTAGCGACCTATAGCTTCCCCGTTTGACTGCGTAAACTATTCTAAAATGTTCAAATTATAGCTTTCTTATGTATTAGGGAACTATTCGGTTTTCCTTGTTGGAATGTTGTTCCAGTTTGTTGGAAACACGAACACGATCTCCGCCTTTGGCGAGCGACTCGACTGCGAATGATGCCCCGTCTACTCTCTCGAAGCCAACTACATTCTCTCTAGCTAGCTCGCTTCGGGTGCCATAATTTTAGCATTAGCTAACGCTCCTCCCGTCTAATAAGCTTTTCCCCTAGCTTAACGTTTTGTGTTTTACTATTGCTTTCGGTTGGCCGTCCAGTCTCGTGCCGAATATATAGCGCACGATCATTGCGCTATAATTGGTGACCCCGAAAAGAAACTATTTTTTGTGAGTTCGGTACTAATATTTCTTTTCAGATCCGGTAACTTATTCTGTCTACGCTTCTACTTTTACTTTTTACTACTTGCATTCACTTTTACACGCTCCGTAATTTTTCACCATGAAGGTCATTCACCCAACTTCTGACGATCAGGTTAGTGCGTTCCGTTTCCCTATCCCGCCTTTCCGTGAGACTAACCCTAAGGCCTGGTTTAATCAGCTAGAATCCATTTTTCGTTACATGGCGTTAACTCTGATAGCGTTGAATTTCACTGCTTTGTCGCAGCGCTTCCTTCGCAAGTCGTCGATGACCTCGACGACATCTTGGAACTTCCCGAATATCAGAAGAGTTACGACGAGCTTAAGGCCGTAGTCTTAAAGCGATTTGGCATATCAGACCATGCTCGCGTTACGCAGCTTCTTAACGAAACCGAGCTAGGTGATCGAAAACCGTCGCACTGGTTGCACAAGATGCAGGACCTAGCTTAGCTCCTCCCTGTTGGCGACCCTTTCTTAAAGAGATGTGGCTTCGTCGCCTGCCACTTGACATGCGCAATCCCTTGTATGCAAACGATGCGCCTCTTCCTCAGCTCGCCGATATTGCCGACCATATTTGGGAATCCAACGCCCAAATATCTCAGGTTCAGTCTACCTCCAGTACAGAGGTAGCAGAACTAAGAGCGCAAGTAGCCGCACTTGACCAACCGACTAGAGAAGCTAACGCAGTCCGGATCCAACCGTCGAAATCGTTCCAGTAGTCGCAGTCCTCCTAGATCACGTTCGAAATCTCCCCTAGGTCAAGCTTTTGCTGGTACCACGAGCGATTTGGTCATCAGGCCAGATCGTGTCGCCCGCCTTGTTCCTTCAAGCGCAAAGCGCAGGGAAACGGGCCAGCCAGCGCGTAGGGGCGACGGACGTTGCTGGCTGCCCCAGTCTCCTTTTCTGTGTCACCGATCGCAGTACGGGAATACGCTATCTCGTTGACGCCGGCGCAGAAGTCAGCGTTATCCCACGTGATTCTAATGACGTTATCGAAGAGGCGACCGGTTCATTGCGCAGCAAACGGTACCACCATTCGCGTGTATGGCCTACGCTCGCCCACGCTTAATTTAAACCTACGACGTTCATTTAAATGGATCTTCCTTGTCGCAGATGTACAGACGCCAATTCTTGGCCTGGACTTTCTGCAGCACTTCGATTTACTTGTTGACGCGAAGCAACGCTGTCTGATCGACCATCCAACAAACCTGGCAGTTATAGGTACTTTGACCGACATAGAGTCAATCAGTCCTGTATACGCCAACCTGCTAAGCTCGCCCATTGGTCATATGCTTACTACCAAGTTCCCGCAAGTCTTTCGTGCAATGGCACTGTTTTCTTCAGCCACTGATGCAGCGAAACATCACATCGTTACGAAAGGTCCGCCTGATTTTGCCAAAGTTAGGCGAATGACCACTGACAAGTTGAAAATTGCTCGCGCAGAATTCGAGCACATGCTTGAACTAGGCATCGTTCGCCCGTCTAAAAGTCCCTGGGCGTCGCCACTCCACATGGTGCCCAAAAAGTTAGAAGACTGGCGTCCATGTGGTGATTACCGCGCGCTCAATAACGTTACTGTTCCCGACTGATATCCGATTCCTCACATTCAGGACATCACGGCAAGCCTGCGCGGCCCCCCCCCCCCCCCCCCCCCCACCCCCCCCCCCCCCCCCCACCCCCCCCCCCCCCCCCGCCCCCCCCCCCCCCCCCCCCCCCCCCCCCCCCCCCCCCCCACCCCCCGCCCCCCCCCCCCCCCCCCCCCCCCCCCCCCCCCCCCCCCCGCCCCCCCCCCCCCCCCCCCCCCCCCCCCCCCCCCCCCCCCCCCCCCCCCCCCCTCCCCCCCCCCCCCCCCCCCCCCCCCCCCCCCCCCCCCCCCCCCCCCCCCTCCCCCCCGTCCCCCGCCCCCCCCCCCCCCCCCCCCCCCCCCCCCCCCCCCCCCCCCCCCCCCCCCCCCCCCCCCCACCCCCCCCCCCCCCCCCCCCCCCCCCCCCCCCCCCCCCCCCCCCCCCCCACCCCCCCCCCCCCCCCCCCCCCCCTCCCCCCCCCCCCCCCCCCCCCCCCCCCCCCCCCCCCCCCCCCCCCCCCCCCGCCCCCCCCCCCCCCCTCCCCACCCGTGTGTTCTCGAAAATCGAGCTGGTTCGCGCGTATCACCTGATTCCAGTCGTTGAGGAAGGCATCCCGAAGACTGCTGTAATCCCGCTGTACGGGCTGTTCGAATTTTTGCGTATGCCGTTCGGTCTTCGCAACGCAGCCCAGACTTTTCAACGACTCATCGATTCAGCCACTAGAGGTCTAAATTTCGTCTATACACACATCGACGATATCCTAGTTGCCAGCGCTTCTAAAGAGTAGCACGCAGAACATCTCAAAATACTTTTTGATAGGCTGGCCGCTAATAACATCACTGTCAATCCTGACAAATGCATATTTCAGCAGTCTTCCGTGGAATTCTTTGGCCACCATATTTATCAGTGTGGTATACGGCCACTAGACGATAGAGTCCGCGCCATCAGAGACTTTCCGGTTCTGACTACGTTAGTCGCTATTCGCCGTTTTAACGGCATGCACAACTATTATCAACTTTTTCTTCCGCACTGTGCCAATTTTCTAAGTCCACTAACGGACCTACTTCGTGGACGCAGAAACGGCCAGGTGGAATTGACTGCTGCTGCTGCCGAAGAGTTCAAGGCCAGCAAAGAAGCCATAGCTAAAGCCGTTAGGCTTCATCACTTCGATCCGAACGCTCCGCTCAGTGTTGCTGTCGACGCATCGGACCCCGCCATTGGCGTGTCCTGCAGTAACATACAAATGGAGGCTGGATACCTCTTGCATTCTACTCTAGACGCCTACAACCTGCCGAAGTTAAGTACAGCACGTTCAGTCGAGAACTGTCAGCCGTTTACTCTACAGTTCGACATTTCCAACACGTCCTCGAAGGTAACACCTTCATTATCTTCACCGATCACAAGCCGCTTACCTACGCATTCCGAAATCAATCAGCTCAACACTCACCACGTGAGATTCGTCAGCTGGATTTCATCGCCCAATTCTCGACTGATATCCGACACATTTCTGGTCAACAGAACGTCGTCACTGATGCTCTTTCAAGAGTATCTGCGATTGGACCTGCCGGGCAGGCAATCGATTCGTCTGCTATGGCCGCCGCGCAATCAAACGACCAAACCTTTTCGGAACTTTGCGATTCTTCTTTGAAATTATCCCCGCATCCTTTGCCGTCACCTGACGGTACCATTTTATGCGACACATCTACCAGACGACCTCTACCCGTCGTTCCAGAAACTTTTCTCCGTATCGTTTTCAACACCCTCCACCATATCGCCCACCCAGGCATTAAAGCTACTGCTAAGCTTGTCTCTGAGAGATACGTTTGGCCGGGGATGCAACGCGATCTTACGCGCTGGGCACGCAGCTGTCTCACCTGACATCAAGCCAAGATCCAGCGGCACGTGTCCGCTCTGCTTGGTCTATTTCCGCCAGTTTCAGCGCGATTTGCCTATGTCCATCTCGACATCGTGGGACCGCTGGCCCCGTCCAAAGGAATGGTCTATATTTTGACCATGGTCGATCGTTGCACCCGTTGGCCCGATGCCGTTCCTATCCCTGACGTAGCTGCGGAAACCGTAACACGCGCTTTTGTCGAGCGCTGGATCGCTTCACACGGCTATCCAGCCACAGTGACTACAGACCGCGGTCCACAAGTCGAATCTACGACCTTTAGCGATCTCCTTAAACTCCTTGGATGCCAATGCTTTCGCACGAACGCCTATAATCCGCAAGCGAACGGCATGGTGGAACGTTTCCACCGACAGTTGACAGCCTCACTTAGCGCTGCCAATGCGCTGAGCTGCACTGAAGTGCTGCCTATGATTCTCCTTGGGATCCGATCAGCCCAAAGGCCGATCTACGTACGTCTAGCGCCGAGTTAGTATATGGACTTCCACTGCGTTTACCTGGCGATTTCTTCTCCGTTAGTCCCAGAATTACCCGTTACGACGCACTTTATGCACAGCAGCTTGGCACGAGCATGCGTCTGTACAAGCTTCCCAATGTTAGAGAACAACAACGTAAATCTTAGATTCCACAAGATCTGCAGCATTGTCCGTTCGTTTTTCTCTGCCTCAATGGTCTCCGCAGACCTTACGAAGGTCCTTTCAAGGTCCTGCAGCGTAAGGACCACGTTTTTATCATCGACCATTACGGTAAACGCGAAGCCGTTACAATTTACCGTCTCAAGGTTGCCCACGTGGAACCTGAGCTCAACGAAGACCCTTACTCGTCTTCTGACGAATCAACACAGCCTATGATGGAAGACTCGACTGCTTCCAACATCCCTGACCCCACGTTTCACGCCCCATCCAAGCCTTCCACTTCAGCTCCACCGCTTCCCATCGAACCAACTGCCACGTCTTCAGCAGTTCCTCCAATTTTGCGATCCGATAGGACGTCTAAGACGACGCCTTCCTCTGATTCGAACAAGTCGACTAGGTCGGGTAGACGCGTTCACTGGCCAGCGCGATTAAGGGATTAGTGTTTCTTTCACTTTCCTTATCGTTTTTCTTTTCGCTTTTCGACAACAATGTACCAAACACCCCAAAAGCTTTTGAAAACGTCAAAAATACCGACAAAATTTATTTTGAAAACCCAAAAAGAACGCAAAATGTTTTGAAAACTCAAAAAAGAACAAAACGTTTTGAAAACACAAAAAGAGCTGCCTTTTGCCTGACGCCTACCTCATCCGGTAAGTATCACTCTTGCTTTTGCCCTCGCCTCTACCGTCACTGCTCTTGTTTCTGTTTGTCTTCCATGTATGAACCGGAGGAGATGCCAAAGCTGAAGCGAACAGTTGACCTTCACGAACTCGCGAACATTTAACGCTTACGAACTTCCCCCATTTTGTGTTTTTGGCACCGTCAGGGAGGACACGGGTGGGAGCCCGCTAGGGTCTGATCGCCTGGTTCTCCCCCAGCAGCTGCATCAGGTTTCACTACCTGGTCTGGAAGAAGGCTGGCCCGCGACGGACAGTCTTCACGTAGATCGAAGGGTCACCCACGGTTTCCCTTCTAGGAAGGGGGCTGTGTAGCGACCTGGAGATTCCCCCGTATGACTGTGTAAACTATTCTAAAATATTCAAATTCGGCGCGCGGCTCGACTGCGAACGACGCTCCGTCTACGCTCTGGACGCCAACGATATTCTTCCTAGCTAGCTCTCTCCTGGTGCCATACTTTTAACATTAGCTAACGGGATATATAGTGCACGATCCACGCGCTATAGTGTTACTGGTATGGGGACAACTCCTACAGGTGTAGAAGTCAGCAGATGTCGGTGAGGGAGGGTGTGTGTGCTTGAAGAATGTGACGTAGCGGGCCGTGTCCCGGTATGTTTCATAAGAGCGGGGTTGTGACAGGCTGGAAGGATTTGTGCAGCTCTATCTGCATTGGCAAAAATTGACATGGTGCCCAAGATGTGGGGTAACAAAGGCGCAGAATGATGTGGATATGGGGACAGTCCCTTAGGTGTGTTCAAGACAGAAGCTGGAGCCGGAGTGAAAGTGGAGTGTGAATAGACAGCATCAGAGCGAAAAGAAGATGGGTAGGTGTTAGTTACTTCGCCAGCAACCTGATAAATAAATGGGTAGTATGGGAATTGGCAACTGGCAAGGCATTCTGTTTGAGTTGGCCTGACGTTGGATTGTTCAGGAGAACGTTCGTAGGTGGAATGTTTGAAGGTTACCAACTGTGGGGCGGTAGAAGGCAGCCATGAAGTTGAGACTGGCTGTAGACTGTTGTTTGCAGAAGGTGCAAAAGTTGTGCTAGATGTAACTGTATTGGCTGGTATGTAAAAGGCAGGCACTCACAGTCTGTGTG